TCGGGTCGCGACCAGAGTCGCGGAACGAATTAAGTTCATGAACCGAGGTACCACTGTATTTCTCTACAGAGTTTTTTATTGCTTCTTAACTATCCCGCTTGCTCTCTTTCTGGTTCCACAGGCATTCCTTAACATTGCTTTGATATACTCTGTTAGAGATGATCATACTAGAAAAGAGAAAGAGGGGAAAAAAATAACTTTTTCTTGAGCTTCTCGGAATTCCAGCCCCTTTGTCAAACTGTCTTCACTAATATCTGATCTGGCCTTTCCAAATGCAGCAGTCTTGGCCACCAGCAGTCTCCTCTTCAGATCTTGCTTTCAGGTCCTTCTGACCCTCGCCTTAGGTTCCTCCTCCAACAATTCCTTGACTGACCCAGAATGTCCAGTCCATATAGCACAAATGCACCTTCAGCAGTATCTAACATCCACCAACAACATATCCACTGCCTAAGAAATCTGCCCTTTATATATTTTCACTAAAAGGCAGACATGACTGATCTCAGATGTCTCAATTACGGAGAAAACTTCAGTGTTTCTATCACACTACGCTTTGTGCTGGCAAACAAGAACAAAAAAACTTTAATGCTGAGACCACTTTATAACTCCATCATCTCAGTCTGCCACAGGACCTCTGCTGGAGATGTTACTAAACAACCTTAGCCACTATGGTCAGTGGTGGGAGATGCCTGGAATGATAGTTCAACAACATCTGGGGGGCTATTGATTCCTCATCCCCTTTCCTAAGGGAATTGTAGTTCCTTAAGTAACATGACCTTGTATACTTAGGACAGGTGCAAATACATAATGCTTGTTTCATGATAATCCTATTTCACAGGATTCCAAAATATCTATGCTCCAAAATAAGGAACTATTTTGGGGTGGGTTGCCGAAGAATTCTGTCAGAGATCCCAGAAGTGCTATGATTAGACATCATGATGGGGAAAAGAGGTTGTCCCCAGGTTTTCCACTTGCAGCTCTAAACTAAAAATCTCTACTTCTTCCTTTACATCATGAATGTCAAGTAACATAACAGCCCTGTCCCTTCAAATAAACTATAACTATGCTCTTGTTTTTTACATTTAATATCAATTGTTTCTCTGTTTCATCCCTTTTGTATCTGAATCTAAATTATTTATATACCTTAGAACTTACAACATCTAACACATTTATTTAATTTGTATTCTACAACATGAAGTGCACACTTCTGGTAGGGCAGAGAACACAGCGGCATCTGAGGAAGTAGACTGTAGTTATATTATGGCATAGGTTTTTATGAACTAGAGCCCACTATATATTATCTTTTGGTGTTTAAGGTGCCAAAAACAGACTCTCTGCTGTTCTTGCTGCAACAGACTAACATGGATGGTCATTTAGAAATTAATTACTTGGTTGATGTCTCCTTGAGTTGCAAATGTTTACCTATTGCAGATGCTAGCCTTGTAATACAAAACTGTTTTTACCTGGTGTTAGTGTTGACATTTTGAAATGGTACTAAAATGTTTTTCTTTAATATTCTGTGTAAGCAGAATCCAGACAAGCAACCCCTTTTGAAAAGATGAACAACGAAATATACCTTTACAGAGATATTGAATGTACAGAGAAAGAAATTGTAAGTATTCTACTGATCAGCTACTGCTGACTTTAATGTCTTTTTGCCCCCTTTGGTTGGATCAGTTTAACATATTCCACTGAATTTGTTTGTTTTGTTTTACCCAGAAAAAAAGGTGAGGACAGTCTCACAGATAAACCAAAGTCATCATAGATTCTTACTAATAATAAGAAATAATAATACCATGATGATGGTTATATTAGCAGTCATGATGCATCAGTATATACCTAGAGATAGCAGTAAGATGAACTGCAGAGTCAATAAAGCTTGCCTAAATTGATTTTTTTTAAACTCCTTTTCCTGATATACCATTCTCCATCGCACCCCAATCATGTGGAGTTGGGGATGACAAAATGTGGATTTTTTTTAAAACATGGTGGGGCTTTAAAAATATTTCGATTATGCTTTTACTATGTTTAAAACTTGTTTTGACTTTGTAAGCCACCGTGGCAAATCAAACCAAATCTTTATTTTTATATACAGTATATATTTTTTATTCCACCTTTATTATTTTTATAAGTAACTCAAGGTGGCGAACATATCTAATACGCCTTCCTCCTCTTCTTTGCCCCACAACAACAACCCTGTGAGGTGTGTTGGGGTGAGAGAGAGTGGCTGGCCCAAAGTCACCCAGCGGGCTTTCACGCCTAAAGCAGGACTAGAACTCATGGTCTCCTGGCTTCTAGCCTGGCCATAGTTATTATGGTCATAGACCAGCATACAGCTTGGGAAGACTATGGATTTGGAAGGCAGTTAGGAACTGCATTATACATTGTCAAAAATGAGGCAATCAACATGGATTTCGATTTTAGATTAAAAAAACTAAGCAGAGTGTGAAGACATATGAAAGGAGCACCATTTCATCAAGAGCCCGGTCTCGAAAGGCTTTGAGAATACTAGAAGAAGCCACTGAACAAGAAACAACAGAAACAATGGGAAAAGATGTTCCTGCTCTGAACTGGGCGCTTGCTTTTGCAAAGTGTGAGTAAACATTTTAGAGAAATAATAAACTGCAGGAACACTGAAGAATTTTGAGATTTTGCAGTCTTGGTTGAGTTGGTTTTTTGATAGATGTGTGAGTAGTTGAAGTATCCCATTATTGTCTCTTCTCTCTATAACTTCTGTGACTTGGTTCAGGATCTTCTGACCAGCTTAGTGGTTTCTAATACACAGTAACATCACAGTTGTTTCCCCTTTCTGGTATTCTGCCAACCATATTACAGTGAACCTACTCCACCTTATGTTAGATCAGCAGATCTAAGTAAGATATTTTACTCTAAGGATTTCCTTATGTTAGATCAGCAGTCAAAAGTCTGCTTAAAATCCACTAAAGCTGTTTTAGCTAATTGAGTATACTTTTGATCCAACGGAAAGGCACTAATCCAAAGTGGATCGAACTGATCCAAAAATCTGCCCACCTATGTTCTTCCCCTCTGGCTAGTCTAGCAGGTTTCTAGCAGGTTTCAGTTCAAATACAAAGCTTGCGGCTTACTAGGCTGACAGGTAGTTAACCAGCTCATCTTTCCTGACCTTCCTGAAACTCACTTTTTGGGTTTACAAAGTGATCTCTCAATATAACTGCCCACCATCAGAAAGAACTTTTATCTATTCAGAAGGAATTAAATACCACCCTGAATGGCATTATGCAACTTCAGTTTAATTCCTGGAGAAACAGTTAATATTTCAATTTTTAAACTGTCATTTTAATTGTGTTAGTCATTGATAATATATAGTTTATTTAAATATATAGGCTGCAGAGTATAAGGGGGGGAAATCACAAAATTCATTTTTTTTAAAGGTTGTCAAAGTGACAAACAATCTATAGCAGATTACATCAGTGAAGAGAAGGAGCTATTTCTGTTGGAGGTAACAGTTTTTATAAACCTTTTATAGTAGTGTAAGAATATACGTCTCTGCTGGCATTCTAGAAAGCCTTCAAGACCTGGTTGTTCCCCTAGGCCTTGGGTTAGGGTGGTGGGACTCCTCCTGAATTGTGTGTGGGTGTGGTTAGTTGGATCTCTTATTGTTTTATAATTCTGGTATTCTGTTTTTATGTTGTTGGTTTTATTGCATGCTACCAGAGTAGGTTGGAGTTGGGCACTGTCTAAATTGAATAAATTAAATTAAATCTCTGTCTATATAACAGTTCTTCATATGAAAATTTTCAGATCTATATTATTTTGTTAGAATAATTTATGCTAACTAAAACACTTAGCAGCTCCCAACAGGACATATGTCATTGGCCCCAGACCTTTGCAGGGCCTTCTCTTCCCATCTTCTCCTGCCACCTTTCAGTCACTGACAATGTCCTTCGCTTTTTCCTATGTCCTCTCTGCCCAGTACAACAATTTTTCAATATCCAGAACAAAGCAGCCCAACTTATGCAGACCAAACATACAGAACATATTTCAGCTGCTGCACAAACTACCTGAAAGCAGCTTTATCATGCACAGACCTGTGTGTGCAGTTCTGCAGATCTCTTGTGCTATTCTATAATCACTGGGCTGAGGGAGAAGGTAGGATTGGGTCACAGCGGATGAGGGAAAGTGGACTGTGCTGGAATACCAAAAAAAAAGGTTTAGTAGAAAGATCCAATTTGGAGAGCTGAAACAGGAAAATAATCATTGGGCTGTTCAAGAACAGCTGGAATATTGAAGACAAGCTGTGTAGTTGCAGCTGATACAGAGAGAATAGGAGAAAAAATCCTGATGCTGGTGGGAAGATTTCATTAAATGGGATGTGAATGAACTATTCATTCCCCTTTACTAATTATAGAACCAGAAAAAGGTCGTGTCAGACTGCCAGTTAATAATGCAGTGTCAAGATTTTGCAGACTTTTTTTTAAAAAAAGAAGAAAAATAGATATATGTAGTAATATGCTGGCTCATATTTCTGAATCTATGTGATGTAGGGGTAAATGGCATTCATAATAGAGCAGTGTTGTCCAAACTTGGCCACTTTAAGATGAGTGGACTTCGACTCCCAGAATTCCCCA